CCTACTGTTTGGTGAATTGGAAGTCTGTCTTTGTGTCTTGCTTGTTTTCTCAGTTTGATTTTTGTTGTCAGATTGTCCTTGGTTTAATCTCTGGGTTATCACCCAAATCTTCCTGATATAATTGCGCCCTAGCTTCTGGGTCTCTAACGACCCACAGACATTCTCATCTTCATAACATCAGAGAAAACAGCTCATCAAGTCAACCACAATCCTTTATCCCAACTGATACAATCAGCAACACAATATGATCAAGCACAACATGGAAACTGACCACCTGTGGTAGTCACTAGTCTACCACCCTTAAACCATTTGAATTAAATTAAAATCAAGAAACAGTCCAAAACATGTCTGCAGTGAACAAACTTTTCAATATAGTATATTTACCATTTAATGGCTCAGACAGAGCTAGGATGCAAGACCCCTGATCTCAGTAAGCTGATGGCTGGACCCCATGATGCAGACTGACCTTGGGCTGCAAGGCCTAGATGGAGTTCCCCAACCTTCTGAATGGTTGAACTCCACACCGTTCTACTACAGGTTTCCCACGCCCTTTCTTTAAAGATGTTCAAAGTTGGGAACTCAGAATAATACCTTTTATGACAACCTCTGCCTCTGCAGAGTGGTTCCAAAGACTGGCACAATCAGGAGGTCTGAGAGTGCGCGGGGTGGTGGTGGTGTAAAGGGAGTTATGGGGGTTCAGGGGTGCTCACGTGGCTACCTTCCTGGTGCTGGAGTAATGGCGGCTCTGGGTGGGAGAAGGCGTGGCTTTCCTTCCTGCGGTGGATCGGGGACCAGGCTACCTTCCTGTTGCTGGAGTGATGGTGGTTCCGGGCAGGAGAGCAAAATGTTCCTTTTTGAGATAGGAGCCCTCCAAATGGCGTTGAGAACCATATTAATACAAAAAACTACCTCAGTGAACATGCAATATCATCAATGTTCAGAAAAAGTTCCCTCAATGTAAAAGAATTTGAATGTACTCTAAGTACAAATAGTTCAAATAAGAAATCTGCATGATTATCATCATTCTTTTCTTACTCTGTAACTTATTTAGTGAAACAGCAACTTTTAATTCACAAGAAAAAAAAAAGACTGCCAGCCTAATTTTAGATATATGTGGCTATTTTAACAAAGAATCTATAAAGCACCCTGAAAAAGAGGCTAAAATACAATGAGAATAATGATGCTATAGTTGGCTGCCCCAAAGCACATCTCACTACAAAGCCATGTATATGGAGGAGGATGAGCTAGAGCTAGGCTGGTCTACCTGAATCCTGATTTTGCCATTTACTTTATAGTTTCATGGCCATGGGCAACCTGGGGACCCGCTTGCTACCGTTTCTTGTCTGTCACAGTGTGTGTGGAGTGATGTCACTATACCACATCCTTTGAGGAGTATAAGAAAGACCCATAGAATGGTGTCAGGCACACAGGAAACACCAAGTAACTGAGAATTCTGTACCACTGGTCTATTTATGAACTCAACGTTCCAGAAAACAAAGACTGGTTCACTGCAGTAATTACATGCAGAGTATCCTGTGCTTTAATATTAGATGGTTTGAAAGTTAACTCCTCTTTCCAGATCCTCCTGCCACCTGTATCTGCTATCCAGCTATGAACCCCAAAAGATCATCACCATATGCTCCATGCCACCATGGCCTATATACTTTCTGCCTCTTGAGCTGGTGGAGAAGCCTTATTGGACCAAAAAACACCCCCCTGGCAATGACTGCGGTACTTTCTATTCAGGGTTTGGTGCAGGCCAGACCTTGCAATCACTCATCCCAGCATCCTTTGCTTTTGTTCTCAATGGCTAGCAGTGTGCCAGGCACAAAGCAGAAAGTCTTTAAACTGAACTACTCTTGAATGATGATGAACTATGTACTGTAAAATTTTCTATTATGCCTCCTCTTTAACAGTGAGACATTAAAATTGGTTCAAATGAGATTTTCTTTATTGAAACAAAAATTATATACCACACAATCCATCCTTAAAAGTGTACAATTCAATGTAGTTTTTAACATATTCAGAATTGGGCAACCATCACAGCAAGTTTTAGAACATCTTTATCACCCCCCAGAAAGCTCTGTAACTCTTTAGCAATCACTACTTAACTCCATAGTACTGCTCACTTGTCCCCAGGCAACTACTAATTTTGTCTCTGTGGATTTGCCTATTCTGGACACTTTACACAAATGGAATCACACAATATGTGGTCTTTTGCAACTAGTTTCTTTCATTTAGCATGTTTTCAAGGTTTACTTTATTTTTTTGGTACCGGGGATTGAATTCAGGTCCTTGCGCTTTCAAGGCAGGCCACCGAACTGCTGAGCTAAATCCCTGGCCCTCAAGGTTTACTTTTGCTATCACATATATTAGCACTACTTCCTTTATATGGCCAAATACATTTTGTTTATCCATTAATCAGCTGATGAATATTTGGATTGTCCCCATATTTTGGCAATTATAAATAATACTATGAGTATTTGTGTACAAGTTTTTATATACACATATATTTTCATTTCTCTTTTAAGTCAAATGTTAATTCCATGTTTAACTTTTTGAGGAACTACTGGATTATTTTCCAAAGTGGTTGTATTGATTTATATTTCTACTTATAATAAATGAGTGCTCCGGTTTCTTCATATTATCTCCAATACTAGCTGTTTATAGCTATCTTCGTGGCTGCATTTCCCAGATGGTTAGTGATGTTGAACAATCTGTTGGTAATTTATATACCCTTTGTGGAGAAATGTCTATTTCACACATTGCCCATTTTAAACTGGTTTTCTATCACTGAATTGTAAGAGTTTCTCTCAAGCCCTCTAAAATACTGACTACATTGAAGAAAAAGTTTATATTTTATTTCCAGGTAATTACATTTATTTCTCTCATTTAAATGGTCATAAATCCAGTCTTCATCCATTCATTCAATTCAAATGTTGATAAGAACTCCACAAATGAAGTCATTCAGAAGCAATAAGAATTTGAGGGCCGGGGATTTAGCTCAGCGGTTCAATGGCCTGCCTTGCAAGCACAAGGACCCGAGTTCAATCCCCGGTACCAAAACAAAACAAAACAGAATTTGAAAACACAGGTCTACAGTTAGAGCCCTGAATCTAGGGATCAAAGTGTCTCTAAAGGGTTTCAAACCTGAATATGTTGGAATTGAGTTTGTAGATTTAGCTTCTTCAGGACACTTCCTGGAAATACAGCTACACAACTCTTCCCGGTACTTCCAAACCTTCTTGTTGGAAAATGATGCATCTTCTTAATGGATAGTATTTATATTATCAGGCAGGTCTGAGTTGGGAAGAAAAGAACTTCAAGTCTTCTAATAGGAATAGAAAGCTACTAATCCTAGCCTCTCATCTGCCAAATAGCAGCAAGACTCCTCCATTAAAGCAATATATAAAACACATTGAGTAGACACATTACAACTGAAGTCTGTAGGAAATTCAACAGTTAATACTTTTCATCCCTTGATATATCCATCCATAGATTTGTCTTAAAATCCAGTGAAATAACACCACTCATGATTCTAACTTTTGTCTCTTTCCACTCAGTATCAGCTGCTGTTTCCTGAGTAAAAATTTCCTGAAAACAATGCTGAATAATAAGCACTACTCACTGCAGATATAAAGCACCTTACCTTCATGAATTAGCATTGTTTCATCATCACTTAAACAGCTGTGATGTATACATTAGTTACCTGTTGGAACTAATGTGAACACTAACCAAGTACTATCTCAGAGATGAAGACAAGCTAATGAGGTAAGCAGACTTGCCTAAGATCACAAAGAAGGCTCAAGATCTAGACCAGAAGATCTGTCATCTTTCTCCTATTCCTGAGTACTGGTCAACTGAACTGATGTGAGGCCATCAGTTACTCAACCAATTAATACTCAGGAGGTATCAAAACAGGTGCTGTTTAGGAAGCAGGTACACAGATAGAAGAAACACCCAGCCACCAGACCCCTGTGAACATGCAGGAGTTACTTCTCTTTTAAGCAGCACTATTCTTGCTATTATACTCTGAAATGCAAAACGTCCTGGAAAATAATTGCTAATAACAAGTTCTAATTCTAAGAAAAGAAAAAAAAAATCATGCCACCCTACTCCAAAAAAAACAAAAAAACAAAAAAACAAAAAACCCTGAAATGTTACTAGTAGTGGATTATAAATGATTTTTATTCAATTTTTTATTAAGTATTGCAAACATACATGATAACAAGAAATGAAGATACTAAATAAAAGTTTCAAATATACATATATATGACAGCAAAAAGAGGATATGAAATAAACAAAAATTAATGTAACAGACTCGAAATACATTATTAGTTTGATATGATCTTCAAACATTATGTTCTTTCTCATTTTCTTTTTTGTGTGTGTGTGCTTTTTATGTTTTTTTTTTTTTTAAATGCAGAATGGATTCAAAAGAATGAAGGTTCTAGTCACAGGCCAGCAGGCAGCTAAAAAGTAAGCCTTAAGAACACCAGTGATTTCATCAGTGCCTTGTTTTAAAAGCAATACCTATCAAATACCTTAGTTTTTTCTATTGCCTTATTTCCTTTGCCCCACATACATGGCACAGCTAGCTGACTTATGGACTCCGTATCCACACGTCATTCCTTACAGCAGTTTTTTTGGCCAACAAGAAGGATCTTCATCCCCATATGGTCTCCTTCCAGGTGCATGGTCCACCTCTTCTATTGAATGTGAAATGGTTTTACCCCTTAAAAATATGGCTACTTCAGCACAAACCAATGCTAAGTCTTTATAATGATCAGTAATCATCCTATTCCCTTTACATGCAACTGAAAAATGACAGGCTAACAACAGAACAATGTGAATTCTGTACTGTTAGAATTATCATCCATTAAAAGATCATTAGTTAATGGTCACTAAATTTACACATTAAGGAAATTATATATAGAATACTGCAAAAACACAGTAAAAAGACTGAAGTTTGCCCATTTCTGCTCAGGAAGTCCTACTCCCAAGCTGCATAGTACGTTGCCCTTTTGACTACAAAATATACTGCTATTACTGTTTCTCCTCTTTTTGATCTTCCTTTGGTTCTCCAGTGCCAGAACTTCCAGAGCCTTCTCTTTCAGATGCCATCTTTTTGTATGCCATTTCGAAGAGCTTCAGTGATCCCTGCTGGAGGGAAGATGCTGCCTGCCTGATGTTTTCTCCTGTTTCACTGTCTTTTTGAGCCAAGAGCTCCCTCATTTTGGAAATCTCCTCCTTTAGCTTGTTGCACTCATCAGCAGGCAGTTGGTCCTTGAGCGCTTCCATCTTTGTTTCTGTGTCATGAATTATTCCTTCAGCCATATTAACTGTTTCAACTCGTTCCTTCTTTTGCCGGTCTTCCTCAGCATACTTCTCTGCGTTTTTAACCATATTTTCAATATCATCTTTGCTTAAACCACCAGAAGACTGGATTACAATCTGCTGCTCATGTCCTGTACCCTTATCTTTGGCAGAAACATGTACAATCCCATTGGTATCAATGTCAAATGTAACTTCAATCTGAGGGACTCCACAAGGGGCTGGGGGGATGCCAACCAAAGTAAATTGCCCAAGAAGCTTGTTGTCTCCAGCCATCTCTCTCTCACCCTGACACACTAATCTCCACTTGAGTCTGTCCATCAGCAGCAGTAGAAAACACCTGGCTCTTCTTGGTTGGAATAGTGGTATTCCTGTTAATAAGTTTGGTAAAGACACCTCCCAGAGTCTCAATACCCAGAGACAGAGGAGTGACATCCAGGAGCAGCATATCTGTGACATCACCAGCCAACACACCTCCTTGAATCGCAGCTCCAATGGCCACAGCCTCATCAGGATTAACAGCTTTACTTGGAGCTCGGCCAAAAAGATCCTGTACGGTCTGCTGAACCTTGGGCATTCTAGTCATGCCACCAACAAGAATCACTTCTCCTTTGTCACTGTTGCTGATTTCGGCATCCTGCATGGTTTTCTGGCAGGAGCGATAGTCCTCTTGATTAGATCAGTGACAATTCCCTCAAACTGAGCTTCGGGTCAACTTCATATTCAAATGTTTGGGTCCAGAAGCATCCACTGTAAAATATGGCAAGTTAATGTCAGTCTGCACAGATGAAGAGAGTTCACACTTAGCCTTCTCAGCAGCTTCCCGCACTCTTCAAGTGCCATGTTGTCTTTAGTCAAATCAACTCCTGTCTCTCTCTTGAACTCCTTCACAATGTGTCGTAACAAAGCTTGGTCAAAGTCTTCACCACCTAAGAAAGTGTCCCCATTGGTAGATTTCACTTCAAATACTCCTTTCTGAATTTCCAGGATAGAAATATCAAAAGTTCCACCACCTAAATCATATACAGCAATTATTTTGTCTTCAGATTTATCTAGACCATAGGCCAGAGCAGCAGCTGTTGGTTCATTAATCACCCAAAGCACATTCAGTCCAGATATCTGGCCAGCATCCTTAGTGGCCTGTCTTTGCAAGTCATTGAAATAAGCAGGGACTGTTATCACGGCATTTTTTGCAGTGTGTCCCAAGTAATTTTCTGCAGTCTCCTTCATCTTCATCAATACAAATGCTCCAATCTGACTTGGAGAATAAAGTTTTCCATGAGCTTCAACCCAGGCATCGCCATTGGAGGCACGGACAATTTTAAAGGGAACATTTTTAAGGTCTTTCTGTACTTCAGGGTCATCATAGCGCTGGCCAATGAGATGCTTGGTGGCACAGAAAGTATTATTTGGGTTGGTGACAGCCTGTCGCTTTGCTGGCATGCCAACAAGTCACTCCCCATCTACTGTAAAGGCAACAACGGAAGGGGTGGTTCTGGCACCTTCGGCATTCTCCAGCACCTTTGCTTGTTTACCCGCCATTACTGCCACACAGGAGTTGGTAGTTAGTACCCAAATCAATACCAACAACTGCACCCTTGACTGCTTCTGATGCATAATCTCTCCTTGAAACAAATCTAAATGCTTCATGACTAAGGCCATTCCAGCCATCCTGGTGGTGGGCGACCGTGCCCGGGAAGGCGGCGGACCCTACAAGACGGACTGCTGAGGCTCGGCTGGCCACTTTCTCATTTTCTTATATTTTTGAAATAATGTAATTACAAATAAAACAAAGTTACAAATTATAGTTGAGAAACTTCTCAAAATTTTATGATTTATAAACTCCTTGGTTTTATTAATTGATAAATATCATATGCTTGTTGATTGTACCACTTACATTTTCTAACAAAACTTCCCACAGAAAAAAAATATACTTATATTTGAAATCCAAAAGCAACCAAAAAATGCACATTTTTAAGATCAGATTTTTCTGTTCAATTTTTTTATATGGTTGGATTTTCCCACAATGGGCATATTTTACTTCCACTTCGTACTTGAGAAAAATTATCTTGTGTGAAACAAACTTTATCTTTTAGCAATAATAATTATTTTTCAAGTTATTTTTATGTAATTAGTGTTTTTACCTTCACAAACACATTATCACCTCCTCTTGTTACAAGTTAAGAAGAATGACACTGAGAGAAGGTTGTTTCTCCAGTCATCTTTAACTTTAAAAAATTTTGGCAATACTCATGACATGCATAAAAGTTAAGGAAAAGCTGGTCATGAAGTACTCGCAGCTCAGCTTGAAAGAAAAAAACTATCAGTCCTATGAAGAGCTGTACTTCTCCCACACTTCAACTCCCCTTCCTCAGAGCGGATTAAAAACACTTCTATGGGCAATTCATGTTTTTAATTCACATGCATATATATGGTGTTTGTATATGCAAAATAAAGAACAGAATTCATTAGTGGTTTAGTGTACACAGTATCTTTCATGGGAATGTCAGGTTAACCCTTACCAAAAACTGTGTATAAAGGAGTCAAACATAAGATTTCTGCCAGTATATTAACTCGTTCTTACTTTCTTATAGCATCCGTCAATATTTAATTATACTTCTCTTGCCTGCAATTAACCTCTCAAATCCTTTCCACACGTCCCTCACTCAAGATATAAAAATATCAACAAAGTCTTCTTTATTCCATTTGTTATCACTTTTTTTCTTCTTTCTGAACTATTCTTTTACTTTTCTTTTTCATTTTTCTTTCTCTTATTTTCTACAGTCTAGCCTATTTGTCATCAGCACTGCATCACAATCCTTCTGGGTTACTGAAGAATGACTAAAATTGTTAAAACAAGTTTTGAATTACATGACTGAACCATGTTTGGTTTTGTAGATGCTGAAATAATCAGTAGTGGTTTTCTGCTTGCAATACTGCAACTGGGACAGATTGACACTATTATGTTGAGCAGGTTGAAGAGGTATATAAATAACAAAACATATCCAAAGCTAAGGGCACATCACGGGGAAACACATACTACATAAGGAGATATCCATAGTGGCAAAAGAGTTTTCTACCTTGATCCTCCACACTCTGCACACACACACACACACACACACACACACAAAATGTAACATGAGAATACAAGGCAACAAGATGCCTCCAAAATCTCTCAACTGCCCAAAAGCTGATCTCACAGGCACTGAAGTGGAGAAAGTCACAGGCAAAGAGCTCAGAAGCCAAACAGTTAAAATATTTGAAAAGATTTCAAAAAAAATCTGTAAGACATTAAGCAAACCCAAATAAACAAATAAAAGATTTAATTAATAAAATGTCTGACAAGCTTAAAGAAGCAAAAATATTAAGATGTGCTTTATAAAAATATACCCAAGCACAATGAATGTAATCATTAAGTACTATAAACATATACGAATAAAAATTTTAAAAACTTAAAAAAATATCTGACCGAATTAAACCAGATAATACAAGCTATGAATGACCATTTGACTAAAGAATTAAAGATTATAAAAAAGATATCAAGCAGAAATCCAGGATGTAAAAGTACTAAAGTGAAAATATGGGCATCAGAAATGATCAATATGAGAGACTGTCAGAACTAAAAGACAAAGTTGGAAGTAGTAGATCATATACTCAAGATACCCTAAAAAGCAAAGAAACACCATGGAAACTAGATCTAGTAGGTGCTTGATAATTTAGGCCAACCTAAAAATTATAGGAGTTAAGCAATCATTAGAATATAACACAAGGGCTGGGAATTTAGCTCAAGTGGTTCCAGCGCCTGCAAGGACCTGAGTTCAATCCCCAGTACCAAAAAAAAAAAAAAAAAAAAAAAAAAAAAAAAAAAAAATATATGACACAAAAGGTATAAAAAAGTCATCAAAATCACAGGAAAGTTTTTTCCAAATTCAAAGGAGGAGCTCAACATCCAAGTAAATGGGGCTACAGGACCCCCAATAGCCATGACCAGGAAGAATTCTAACACACGTCATAGTCAAAACTCCAGAAATTCAGCACAAAGAATACTAAGAGCTGTTACAAAAAACATCAACTAAATTATAAAGGCAAGCTTATCGAAATTAACAACAGACTTCTCAACAAAAACCTCTGAAGGCCAGGAGAGCTTGGAGTCAAGCTTTCCAAGCCATGAACAAACAACAAATACTGGTGCAGTTGTGGGAGGAAAATGAAACTTCTGCATAATTGGGAATGTAAATTAGAACCACCACCATGGAAATCAGTATGGAAATTCCTCAAGAAACAAAAATAAAAATTCGTTTGATTCAGTTATATCTTTTGGGGATCTTCCCAAAAGAGTTAAAGTCATCATATTGCACTGATAGCACATACCCACGTTTAAAATGGCACAATTCCCAACAGTTGCATTATGGGAGCAGCCTATATGCTGATCAACAAATTAATGGGTTAAAAAAATGTGGTATAGACAAATGGAGCACAGTGATACCTCAGTTTACAAACTTAATTTGTTTTACAATTTTGGAAAGTAGGCTGTATTTGTGTGGGGAAGATAGCCACAGATGTGTTTGTCGCCTGATACAGCATTTGTGAACAGAAACAAACATTTTGTCAAAAGCTTTTCTTTGTGAATCAAATTTCCTGCAAAAAGAAGCGTTAGTGAAATGAAGCATTACTGTACTACTCAGTCATAAAGAAGGATAAATTTGTGTCATTTGTAAGAAAATGAATAGATTTTAAAACCACAATGCTTAGTGAAATAAATTAGACAAACAATGGTAAATATTGCACAGTTTCCCTAATATGAGAAACTCAATATATAAATAAAATAATTTAAAGAGCAAAATGAAAGACAGATAGTAAGAAACAGGGAGGTAGACTCTCAGGAAATGGGAAAGGGACCTGTGAAAAGAGGGAGAGGGGAGGCAAAGGAAGGAAAATGATCAGGACACAAAATGTGTATGTATCAACTTCTCAAGATGAATGTAATTATTATGTACTTCAAACATAAACTAATAAAAAAGAATTTCTCATGTTCTTTTCCCTTCTACAAGAAAACATACCAACTTAACGCAATGTAACAATTACCTATTTTTTTTCTAAAAAGCAAGAGATTATTATTGCTTCTTGACCTTTTGGCTAAGATCAAATGTAATAAAGCAAGACATTTCAACAGACTCTTCAACAAAGAAAATATTCAGATAGCAAATAAGTACATGAAAAAAAATCACAATTAGACAACTCTATATAGTCAGAATGGCTAAAATTAACTTTATAGATTACTTAGCACTCTTGTGCTGATCATTGTACTCCTCTGATACAAGCAAAGGAAGTACAATTTCTGCTCCTTTGGTATAAATTCCCTAAGTCAGGTCCAACAGTGTCTTTCAAAAGAAAGACTAAATGGTTTTAATTTTTTTCTGTTTATCTTAGAAAGCCACTTAAGAGTGTTACTCTTAAAAATATGTATACTTTATACAGGTAGCAGGTAAATACGAAACATTGGAGTGTTAAGATCATTCTTTTGAGGCTTATGGTTATATCCTGGGTAGTATTCATTCAGTCATAAGATTTAATGGAGGCAGGCAGTGTATTTCAAAGAGAGATGGGAGAAAACATATTAGAATCTTAAGATTTTGGTGTGGAGTGAGAAATGTGGGTAGATTCTTAAAAGGATGTGAAATAGGGCCGGGATTTAGCTCAGTGGTGTCGCCACCTGCTGTGCAAGCACAAAGTCCTGAGTTCAATACCTGGTTACCACACACACACAAAGTGAAATGTAACTGCTTTACTTTTTAAATCTTCTTTGTGAAGTATAATACACATGCTTAAATGATTTCTAGTTACTTCCTTTGAAATTTCAAATATTAAAGGAGGATGAGTTTTATCAAAAAAGTCATTATTGTCATGAATTTTAAACACTATGTCTAATAAAACTTAATAAATCTTTATATACACAAGAAACTCAAAACCTAAGTATCACATGTACAAATTTAAATTTAAAAACTATACTATTTCCTTTTCCTCATATTTATTTTTCATTAACTTCCAAAAATAAATAAACCTGTAATTGTGAAACAATCCCACTGCAGAGCTTAGAGTTAATTTCTCAAAAGGTAATATATTTCCAGTTGTTGAAATAGTTGAAAAGTGTATTAAAAATGTATTCAGTGCTTTACTTCAAAAAGTAAAAACATCATGTTCTACTATTTTCACAACTATTTTGTACTTCTCAGTTTTCTCGCATAGTCCAGCTACCCGAGGTGGACCGCCCTAGCTGGGGATGCAGTGCCTCTCTCCCTGTCTGTTTTGTTTTCCTCCAAACTCAGTCTTTCCTGAAAAGTACTCTGGGTTGAGAATGTCATCCTAAGACTCACGTGAGACCTAACCTTAGTTCCAACATTCCTGAACCAGAAAGGGTGATTCCAGTTTGTAAAGGGAGTCTCAGAAAACAACTGGGTTCAAACAGGGCAAGTAACTTTAAGCACCAGTACAAAAGTGTGAAGTAGAAAATAAGATATTTGGAATAAGAAGCACTGACCCCCTTAAGTATTTAGCAAAAGTCCTTAATTTATTTTTTTCTTTTCTGTCGTTGTTGTTGTTGTTGTTGAGACAGGATCTTGCTAATATAGTTCAGGCTGGTCTTGAACTCACAGAGATCCTTCCTGCCTTAGCCTCTCGAGTGCTGAGATTACAGGTGTGTACCACCAGGCCTAACTATAAGTTCTTATTTTGTACTATTCACTGTTGTCTATTTG